CTGTGATGGTCCTCCGTGCATCTGCTATTTATATGCTAATCTCCTCTCTTACGCGGAAGGTCTTGCAAATTATTACGGCAAACCAATAACTCAGGTGTATGGACTATAGCAGGCTTTGCTGACCGCAGAACGCTATGAAAATCGCTTTGTCACGAGGACACCTTCTAGACAACCTAGAGTGAGACTGTCCTGAAGTTTTACCATCATATCTCATTTTGAAAACACAATGGCATGTATTAGAAGCACATTTTTGTATAATCTTAGAACATTTCTTGGATTTAATATAATAACTGTATAGAAATATAATATAATATAATATAATATAATATAATATAATATAATATAATATAATATAATATAATATAATATAAAGCAGTAAAGAAGTGGCTTTTATCTTCCTTTTTATTTTGAACTTTATTGTATGCAGGCATATATTGCAAAACCCAAACTATCTGAAAAAAAGACTCTGGGCTTAAATTCAATAAAAAATAAAACATACACAAAAAAAAAAAAGACAATTTAAGAGCATTTGTTTGCAGAAAATGACAATAGGCCTTCAGTATATAAATTATTCAAAGTTTTAAGACTACAATAATTAAAAGAAAATATTAAATATCTCTTTTTCTTTTAATTAAACAGTTGTATTTGTATTGCTTAAAGGTGATATATTAACTAAACTTCTACTCTTAAATGTGATATGCCTTGCATACTAATTAAGCTTTTTGCAGAAGTAGACGAAGCTGATAGAATGATTGTCTAAAATGAACTAAACTTCCTGTGAGCAGACATGGGTTAAAACTGAACACAAAATATGTGAAGATGAGAAATCTTATATGCTTTAAATGTTGTGCAGAGAATTCATAGAAAAAGAGAACATATGTATGGGTGCGTCCAATGGAGGACTGGAGAATTATTGACAAGTGATGAATTTCACTAAACTCCATCTGTTAATACCAGCTGCCTATAAAAGTTGGAGTCAGGAAATTAAAATTGTTGCACACCTCCTGGATGTAATTCTTGTATTGCATGAGTAATAAAATACTTATGTGTTTGACATTGAAGAAAAGCCTCTCTTGACCTTTTTAATTGAACATGCATGGGATTGGCTAGATAATCAAACAATATACAGTATTGAAGTCAATATTATTAGAAATAAGAAAGTTTTATTCGTTTTATTTTGGCTAGAATAAAAGCAGCTTTTTAATTTTTTAAAAACAAAATTATTAGCCCCTTTGAGCCAAATATTTTTTTCGATAGTCTACAGAACGAACCATCATTATAAAATAACTTGCCTAAATACCCTAATCTGCCTAGTTAACCTAATTAACCTAGCTAAGCCTTTAAATGTCACTTTAAGCTGTATAAAAGTGTCTTGAAAAATATCTAGTAAAATATTATTTACTGTCATCATGGCAAAGATAAAATAAATCAGTTATTAGAGATTAGTTAATAAATAATAATAAACAGAGCACTAATAATTCAGGGGTGCTAATAATTCTGACTTCAACTGTATATAAATATAAAATGCACATGGTTTCTTTTAATTAATTAATTTATTTTTTTCATTTTGAAAAAAACATTATTGTTGTATACATTTGGAACATTTCTTGGAAAAATATAATAACTATATGGGAACAATAAGATCATATAACCTAAAAAAGCAGTGTTTTTTACCCTGCTTTTTTCTGGTTAAATTGGTTGGTTAATTCCTATCAGCTCCTGCATGTCCTCATGATTATGAAAGCTCTGGCAACTGTTACTGAGTTACTATGGTTACTATAAATGTTTGAAGGAAGCACATTCATTTACAACTGTGATCAAAACTGACCAGCTACTACTTTAAATTATGCATTAAATTATTATTTTTTGTACACCTTTCAACCAATCAGAATCAAAATCTTCAACAGACTGTGGGATAAAAGCAATTAACTATGATCACGAGTAACAAAAGAAAAAACTAAGTGCAAAGTCTAAAGCGTATGGCGCAAAAGCATTAAGGGCATGTCCTAATCCACTTTTGCTATTTTAAGGACATAAAAATACATTCTACGCCCTGGCGCATGGTCTAACAGGTCTGTGCTTATTCTCTCAATGAGTGTTTTAAACAACATTCATTAAACCAATCAGAGTTTCATCTCACATTCCTTTTAAGAGTCAGTTGTGTCAAGCCATGGCACATTAGCTATTTACACGGCGCACTTTGTAAGTGGAAAAACTGAATGGAAAAACTGAATGCTTCACTTGCTAGAAAACAGTTAAACAAACAATCTGCACAAGAATGAAGAATGAGCTTCCTCCATTTGGCCTCTTTACTTTCTCTTTACTTTTACTCCTTACTTTACTCCTTTACTTTCGCGGATAAGGAAACGATGTTGTACACTCCACTAAAGACATACATTAGCCTGCACACTTAATTTTGTTTGTCAAGCACAAAGATTTGTTTCAAAACTATCTCTAAATTCAGTTCAAATTTCCAGCAAACAAACACATAAACATTAATAACGAAGTGTGGTCAAAAAACTGAGTTATATCCAAAGACACATCATATTCTTATGCTCCATATTGGTGATGTATTTGTCTCCAAATCCCGACAGGTGGACAAATCTAAACTTGTTTTTATTAAAACAATACAAATATGCATATAATAAACAACACTGCTAATAATAATAATCACATTATACAATTTCAATTTGTCATGAATAAACTGAAATAAGCCTCCTGAGATGACGAAGGTATGGAGGTAGTGTTTTTTATTGTTGAGGTAAATTCTCAAAATAGCAATGTGCCAACAATGCGCCTTAACACACCTCCTTTCTAGACCAACACACCCATGAGTCCACAAAGTGGTGCAAATAGATTTGCTATTTAAACAATGTGGCACAAAACATGAAAATTAGGGTTGCAATGGTCTGAAAATAGCAATGAATTGCACAAAACACATTTTGCGCCTTATAGCGCCAGGTGAATGATAGGGCCCTAACTCTTAACTGTCTGTCACCCAGAGAAGTCCACGTGGTTGTGAATATGAGATCCTGAGTTTATCTTAGGATTTATCGGAGTCATTATTTTGACTAAAACACACAGGGAGACTGAACTGCAGTTCACATTGTGAGCTAATGACCCTTGCTTTGCATTTGATTACATAAGTCAAAACAAATGTAAGTGTAGGTTTTCTAAATTAACTTATCTTTTAAAAAGTTGACACACAGTTCACAAGAATTTTTAAGTGGAGTAAGCACCAAAGTTACCAATTTATATAGTTTGTTTAGTCATTTTAAGTTTGAAAAAAAAAATCTAATAGCTTGATATTTTTGTATGTTTACAAACAATAAAGCAGTAAATACAAATATATATTTTAAAAATATTTGCATTCTTTAGTTCTTAAGGTTTTATATCTAATTTTTGGCTTACACATTTTTATTATTATGAATAATAATAAGAAGAATAATAATAATAAGAATAAGAAGAAGAAGAAGAAGAAGAATATGGGGTTTATTTATGCAAATAATTTGATGTTTTTGATAATTGGTTGCAGATATTTTGGTATGTATAGATTAAATAGAATTCTTGTGATTTTGTATTTAATTTAGACATTTTAAATGTTTATCATTTTTAAAATTTAATTTTTAATGTGATAAAGGCACGACTAAAAGTAAAAAATATATATTAAAATGATTTCATGTTCCTCAATAAGCAGGAGTTTAAAGAGCTGAAAGCAATTCCACCCATGTCAGAGCAATGATACAGGAAATAAGGTAATGGAATGCTTTTAAGGGAAAAAAGGAAAACCTAATTATGATAAAGCCCTTTTAGTTGTTGCTTTATCACAAAGCACTGACTTTTTGCATTGAAAATCGTCACTGAGAGTGATAAACCTCTCTGGCGTGCAGTCAAGTGCTTTGTCAATGTCACGCCCCTCCTTTCTTGCTACCCTGTCTGCTCTTTTTGCCCAGTTAAAAAACGGATGACATGTGTCATAATGATGTGTCTCTTAAGTGCTCGCTGTGTCCCATTCCACCCAACAGTGAGCAAATCCATAGCATGTGATCAGAGCTTCACCACACTGAAGTAAATCCCTCAGTGTGGATGCAGGGTTTCACCAAATACCATAAATAGTGTAACTAGATAAATATTCTCAACTGTGCTTGTGTTACATACAGGGCTCCTTTACTTTTCCTAAACAGTACACATTAAGTCGGTGTGTAATATGTGAGGGATGGGCGCCCTCCTCTGGTTATAACACATTACTGAAGACAATACAGTTATTATTTGCTATTTTCAACAGTGTTCAGAATGGTACATTATGATACAGCTTTAATAAGTATACTGGTTATATGCTATGCATTACACAAATTCAGTCAAGAGTTAATATGCGAGTACAAATAACAGAAAAGCTTTTCCATGACATGAATAAATTTTACATAACTTTTTCAGAGATTTAAACTGCTGTAAATATTATAAAGAATTGTCTAACAAATTGTATGTTCCATTTAATTATCAGTGTAACTTGTAATAAAATGATGTTAGGCAAACAATGCATTGTGTATTCATTTAATTATAAATTACATATTAAAATTTTTATGAAAGATTCATTTTTTAAAACAAATATGAGAAAATTGTTGTTGATTTGCTTATTCCTTATTGATATGCTTATATAAAAACACATCACTAATAATAATAATGTTACCACTATTTTTTTAAAGTAAATAGCACACAATTTTTTTTAATCAAAATGTTTTCAGATTCAAAGTTTTATTTCAGTAATCATACAGTCATATATTATATAATGAACGTATTCTATCATGATTATTATAATATATTGATATTACCCTAAGTTATTATTGTGCCCACATGGAATCTGTGCTCACTGAAATCTGCAGATTTTCACAGATTTTTTTAAACACATTAGTCAATCCATTTATTTACTTAAGCAAACATGTGTAAATATACATGTAATTTTAATCAGTTTTCATATAAAAGGTTTGACAAAACATACTCACCACTAATCTCTCTCTGTCCTTGTAATCTATATGAAGATATTCATGTTTTCTTAAGACGTGTTCCAGTGATTTCTTTAACTCCGTGGCTCTCCTCATGAGTTCTTCCTCAACACCAACCTTTGTAAAGACCTGGTAATAACACATTGAAAATGAAAAATCACATAATAAAAGAAATAAAATGCAAAGGCTACAGCATATTTGAACCTACATTCCCCCTATTTGTAATCCTATTGCAGGGGTGTCCTACCCTGTTCCTGGAGATCTACCTTCCTGCAGATTTCAGTTGCAACCCATATCAAACACACCTGCCTGCAATTAGCAAGTGCTGTTCAGTTCCTAAATAATTGGTTCAGATGTGTTTGACATTGGATTTCCTTAAATTTAATGAAAGGAAAACATAAGTTTAACTATTCACCCCAAGTTGTTTACCTGAGTCAATAGACTTAATTTTTTTGTTAATTAAACTCTTATTTTAGACCTAATTTAAAGAATAGGTGTCATGTTTTTTTACTTTAAAATGGAAAAAAAAATCCATGTATTTGATATAAATTATATATATATATTTAAATAGGGGAGCGAGGGGCACAAAGTAACGCGGGGTTAAATTTAACACAGAATTTTAATGTATTTGCTCAAGGTTAACGATTATGTCATGCTTCCAAGGTTTTCACCACAGTGTGAGCAGATGTCTTCCTGCCCATTATTTAAAAAAAATGGTGAAATTTGGATGAGAAACACAGGAGAAACCATTTTTGCAGTTTAAAAGTATTTGTCATTATACTCAATATTTTTTAATTTTAAAAAAATCATTGAAAGTATGAACGTAAAATGTTATATGTTGTGATTATCGTTTTCTAGGCTAAAAGATGAAACCATTTTGAAACATGTAAGAAACACACAGTCACTGCTAGCCAGTTTTGAGGAAAACATGACACAGTGGGGTTTATTGTAACAGGGTGTTACAATAAAGGCCACAAACTGTTTGACACCAATTATACAAACAAAATAATTGTTTGAATTTTAAGTGTAATGTTGTGAACTTTTTAAATAAAAAAAGTTTTTTTTTTAATAGAAAATATTGTTTCAATGGAAAAAATATATATATATTATTGCTAATAATACACATACATGCATTGTATAATATTGGTTAAATGGATAATAATGCAAATAGATTCAAATGTGTTTATCCAATAAATAAATATATGAATAAACATAATGTGCTATGTAGAATAAAAAAAGAAACAAGCCAATTACTGAGGAAATATAGCTACTATTTAAAATAAACTGAATTTAAATTAATTGTGTGAAATCTGCCTTTATATGCATGTTACAACTAACCCCCTGTCTGTTACAACTTGCCCTGCAGGTGGGGTAAATAGTAACATTTTTACTCCTGGCACTCTTCGCAATACTGCACAGAAACCTTTGTGTTACTTTGTGCCCCGCTCTCCCCTATCTATGTCATATCTGTTGTTGTTGTTTTCTGTACAGGCATGGGTGTCTATTTCATACACATAATAAATAAATATACAACATAACGTAACACACACATATCTTATGTCAAAGATTTTTATTTTTTATTTTGGATGTGACTAATCTTTGCCTAGCACTGATGTTTTTTTAATTGTTTGGCCCCCAATGTTTTAGAACAGTCAGCTGTTTCTGTGCATCAGACAAGCTCAGTCTCTTGCTGTTTTTAAATCAAGTTTAAAACATATTTTTAGTCTTGCTTTTGAGGCCTATTCAAAGCTGTTTTTCAGTTTAGTTTTATTTGTCTGGTTTTATGCTGCTGAGTAAACCATAGCTCATTGTTTTATGTACAGCACTTTGATAAGCATTTACTGTTCTATAAATACATTATTATTTAGACTTTGAAAAAAAAAATATATATATAAAGTTACTAAAGTTACTATGTAAGTTTTTTTTCAATCATTTATCCGTAAGCAGGTCAATACACTACCGGTCAAAAGTTTTTTTTATTATATATTTTATTTAATAATTTGAATACAATTATTTTGTTCATCAAGGTGGCATTTATTAAATGTTAAAAAAATAATTTAAAGTGTTTAAATCATTAAATACTTATTTATTAAATATTTATTAATTACTTCTTGTATGTAGTTTCAAATGAAAAAAACTCCAGTCATTATTGCTTTTATTACCATTATTATTATTATTATTATTATTATTATTATTATTATCAATAATAATAATAATAATAATAGTAATTAATATTAGAGTGATTTCTGAAGGATCCTGTGAGTCTGAAGACTTGGAATCACAGGAATAAATTATTAAATTAAATTCTTTTGAACAGTTATTTTTATTATTAATTAATTGTATTAATCAGTTATTAATTAAACATTTTTTACTGGATTTTTGATGAAATAAATGCAGCCTTGGTGAGCTTTTTTGTTAAAAAAACAAACAAAAATTAAACATGTTTAAAATGTTTATTTTGGGGTGAAACACACTTTTCTTAAAACATGTTTGCAATCCGAAAATAGTCACTGGCCAGAATGTATTAGGCAGAATAAACTCCATCAGAGACTGTGCTTATTTCAACCATTCATTTTCAACTTTACGAATAAAGTACGATCAATGCACAATTTTTACATTAGGGTGGTTATATTTGGTTAATGATAGATTCCCTTGCCCTAACACTGATAAACATGTAATCAGAAATGGATCAATAAAAAAATAAAAAATAAACTAGATACTGCAATATTACATAAAAATATGAATTATTAGATTTTATTTCATGATGATTTTCTTTCATCTTATGCAAATGGATTCCCTTTCCCACACAGCTTAACACTTCTTCAGAAAAGATAAATAATTTAAGATCAATAGCAAAATATTAGATTCAAATCATGTATCAGTGTTAATTTAGCTAAAATTAATGTAGTTTGATTTTTATCTTTCTGACTACATTTTAGCCTTCTCATTCATCAGCAATATTGCATACTGATGAAGTAACTGTTTGTGATATATTACCCTATATGTGTATATTACCCTGGTAATATAACAGAAATTAAATAACAGAAATTTACTGTAAAAAACAGACATTAAATTACAGAAATTTAGCAGAAATTTCTCCTTTTAAAGATCATCAACAAACATTTTTGCTTTTTTTTGCATTGACGATATATTGAACATGCACCAAAAAGTTGAGGAAAAGAATATCTGGGAATTAAGCTAAACATCTCCCTCTGAATCAATCACAGATTTTTCATTTGGGAATAAACTACTCTTTTAAGAGTTACCTGGACCCAGGACTGCACCAAAGGCAGATGTCTGGTTGTGACGAGTCTATGAAGATCCCTCACCGTGTTTACTAATGCCTCATTCTCTTCTGTCTCTCTCACTTTTAAATCTGCAGACAAAATTCAGATGGTTATTCACACAATTCCCATTCTGAACTCCAGCTCTGTGTGCTTTAAACTGATGGAGAACACATGTCATGAAAACGGCTATGAACAGATGCACCTGCGGACACATCCAACTCTAGCTGATATCTGTAAGACATCAGGCCGGTGCTGCGGAGAAATGCATCCTCATCAGGAACTTCCTCCATGTCACTCTCATCACTAGACTCATCTGTTTGTTCTTTGTCAGTTTTCTTCTCCATCATCTTTCCATTGTGCTCATTACTCAGGTCTTTACTGCAGCAGGGCTGGTCAGATTGGTCTTCGGCTGTGGTGGAGATACTGGCTGCCGAGTCTTCATCAAACAGGTTAAAGTCATCGGTTGCCAGCAGTCTTATGCAGTTGTTCATCTCAGTCAAGGTCTCCTCAATCCCAGATGTCATTTCTTAATGAAAGAGAAATCAAAGCAAACATTTTAGCTAACCTTGAATTATTGTTAATAATGACACAATATTTTTTTTTATACTGACTAAGGTCATTTTATACTTAGGATAAGTGTTTTAAACTTGATTCTCATTGTTTTTATTTTTAAAAGCTCCTTGTGTTTGCCTCTCAATAATCGCTTTTTCACTTATTTCAAAATATTTTAGGTAATATTTTCAAAACTCTACATACACAACAAGAAAAATGTAACAGGCCATTCAATGTGTGTGTAGTCATATCTTCATATCAAAAAAATTTATTTCAAGACACCTTGCACTTACAGACAAACAGATTGAAATGATTTATTAATAAATAACATTAGTTTTTACTGTTTGATTTGTATGCTTTTTTAAATCATATTAGAAATATTATTATGTAAAATTACAAAAAAAAAAAAAAATTAAGACTTCTTTTCACTAAAAGTTCTATCCTTTATTTTAATACATGATTAAAATAATTAAATTAAATTAATTAAATTAAAAAAAATTCCTGGTGGATTCAAGTATAGTATGGAGTCAATAAACTACTAATTAGTGGCCTATTAATAGTTAGTAAGGTAGTATTTAGGTTTACTGTACAGTATTAAGTAAGATTGGGGATGTGAAATAAAATCATAGTTCATACAGTAAGTGGTATAGTTAGTATCAGGCCGGTGAGAAGGTACTAAGGTCCACACGGAATCTCTGCGCAGATTTTTAGCCCATCATTGAGTCATATGGGCCCTATCATACACCCAGCGCAGTGTGGCGCAAGACGCAGCGCAATAGTCTTTTGGTAATTTCAGCTTGGCGCAAGAGTCGTTTTGAGGCGTTGCGCTACACTGTTTAAATAGCAAATGCATTAGCGCTCATTTGTGCGGCCATAGGCGTTCTGGTCTAAAAAGGAAGCCGTTCTGAGGCGGACCACTTGCGCGTCGCTATTTTGAGAAACTATAATAGATTTTTCATTAGACCAAAACTAACCCGGTCTAGACTCCGGCACAGAGTTGCGCCTCGCTTACGCACTGCTTAATACCCACAAGAGAGCAATAGGCAAATATCTTTATATATGAAAAAAATGTAATATTAAGGATATATATAGGATATAATAAGAATAGATATAGAATATAAATATAAAGGATTAAAATATTACAAAACATATTATTTTCTAGACTACATAAATATGAAAAACCACTGCTTTTTGCTTTTTTATAATGTTAATATTATTAGCAGTATTATTTATTATATCCATATTTATATTTGTTTTATTAAAAACAAGCTTAGATTTGCCCACCTGTCAGGTTTTAGACCATATGGGGCATGGCAGGTGTATTTGGAAATAACTCAGTATTTTGACCACACTTGGTCATTATTGTTCATTTATTCGTTTGCTAGAAATTAGAACTGAATTTAGAAATAGTTTTAAAATGAATATTTGCGCTTAACAAACAAAATTATTTATTTATAGACTAATTGATGTCTGTGCGTAAAGGTTTCCCTATCCAAGAGCGAATGTGAAAGTAGTTCCATTATGTCTCATTCTCACGCAGTAGATGCTCTGTTTAACAGTTTTCTGTTAAAAAACTGTTAACTGTTTGCTTGTGAAATGCTCATTTTTTCCCACTTAGACTTACTTTACGTCCTATAAATAGCGAATGCGCTCTTGGCACGACGCAGCTGGGTCTTAAAGGGAATGAGAGATGAGACTCTAATTGGTTTATTCTCAAAACACACCTATAACACATTAAGAAAATAAACTCAGCCCTTTTAGACCATGCACCACTGCGCAAGGCAGATTTCCTGTCCTTAAATTAGCAAAAACGCGTCCTGACACGCCCTGAAAGCGTTTGCGCCCGTCAAAATAGAGCCCTATGTATTTACTTGTGTAAATGTGTGTAAATTTATATTTTTTCAGTTTAATTAACTGCACTAATATTATTGTGATATAATAATAATAATATAAAAAAATTTCATATAATTTATTTACAATACAGTTTGTAAAGTAAAATGCTTTGTCTTTTAGTAGAGATTGTTATATGAGAGACTTGCTTTGTTTACCAAAAAAGTGGATCTAATCGGATTTGCATTGTAAACATCAAAGTAAAAAAAAAAAAAAAAAAAGTGTCTGCAGATTCTGTCTGACCCTACGCATTTCTTTAAATAAAGTGATATAAAGTGTTAAACACAGTCTATATAGCATTTGCCTATACATTTTACTTTGCCCAAGATGTAATAATATTTTGAGCTCCTTTTGTTATTATTAAACACTTCTGACAAGGCCATTGTAGTCAAATAGTTATTAGTTAAAGGTACTGATTTATTAAGGTAAATATTTAGGTAAATTTTTTTACAATATTATTTTTGAGATTATCTTTTCAGGATATTGTTCATTCATTTAACAACGTGTCCTTTGAACTGTCCCTTGATGTTTAACCATCATAAAAATGATTTGTTTAACACAGCTTAACAGGAAATATTGATTCTTGGTGGAGCTGTGGAAGCACGTGGCATAAAACTGAAATACATTATTGTACCCTCATATTCACAGATATTTAAAGCTACATAAGGTTTACTTCAGCCTTATTTTAATATCTTATGTCTATGCATTTTAATCACAGAAGCTGAGCAGCTGAGAATTGGTGTGGAAGTGTAAACCACAGAAAGTGAAAATATACAACACGTTAGCATTAGCATGCTAGTAAGACCAACCAACCACAAGAGGTCATCAAAGGCTAACTGAGGACATTGTGTGTTTTCATTTTCAGGACAAAAACTAAATGATTGCTACTGTTGACATTGTAATAAAGTTAATGGCCACCTGGCCACCAGGAACAATGAGGAGGAGAACCGACTTTAAAATAATTTAATAAAAATAATAAACGAAACAAATGGACGAAAAAAACAAACTGGCATTTTTTTTTTTTTTTTTTCGGGCATTTTTGTCAAATAAGCAGATTAATTCCTATTAACACAATAGAACCACTTCCAGTAATCTGAAATTAATTACAAAGTGCATCATAATTTTGGACAATTCAAAAGTGCACTTGCACGGATTGGCTCTGTGACTGTAAAGATGCTTCAAACTGTGCACTGTGATGTGGAATTGCTGGTTTACTTGCCAGTGTTGTAAGCCTTTACATTTTAGAACAGAAGTTAAATAAAAGCAATAAAAATAACATTGGTAATATATTGAAATTGTTTCATTTTTAATCAAATTAATTAATAATCAAAGTAAGATAAGACTTCACAATCAGGTTCAATGAGTTAATGTTATTTATTGTATTTACAACATAAACAAACGATGAACAATACATTACTATACTTTAGTGTAGACAATTTCTCTATTTGTTTTACTTGTTAGCATATTCATTGTTCATTTATAAATTGTGATTTTTTTTTGTTTATTTTATTAATTTATTTAATTTTCAAAATGAATCCAGCAATGTCAACTGTTTTTAAAAATCGTTTTTCTTTCATTTCACAGACTTCATAATACTGAAACAAACACTCTGGGCCGCTTATCAGAAGTACTGCACGTCCTCTATAGACTGTTAAGTGAACTGTATGTTCTCTTATCACTCAACTAGTACTCCTATCCTACTGCTGGCATGAAAATATTTTTTTAAACAATGCAGCCACTGAACTAAATAGGTTCTGTTTAAGTTGAGTTTACTTTTAATATTTAAATCACTTTCAAAACAGCTGAAGGGCTGACAAAAGTGTTAAAAATTAAGATCAATATAAAATCCTAAATTAAAATAGACTGTTCAAAATATCATTGGTGGACATATGAAAACCAACAAATTAACAGTCGTTAAAAGCAAAGTATTAAACTTTTAATTTTAGTCAGCCATCCAAAAGGCTTCCAATGAATTGTCATTCAATACAAAATTGCAGCATTTAAAGGGCACCTATGGTAAAAAGTTAAAAAAAAAATCAACTTTTAAAGCTGTTTGGACAAACATGTGTAGGTACAGTGTATATACTGCCATATTGGGGTGATATAAACACACCCAGTCCTTTTTTTTTTTCAAATTTAACAACATAAAAACGGTGGATCAATTGGAGCAGTTTTCAGATCGACCACAACTTAACGTAGGAGTGCGTTCCCCCCGCCCACCAATATTGATTGACAGCTGCGCGCATTAACATGTCTCCGTAGTAACGCATATAATCATATCAACATGACAGGACATGCACAAAGCAACCGGAAATAAAAGGTCTGTTCAGTTTGCTGGGATCATCAATCATCATCAAACGTGATCAAGAATGAGTTTTACAAGTTTAAAATGTTTTAAAACAGTGCATGTGTGTAATGAATTACAGCGAATCATTTAATCAGCACAGTGGCGTGTCAGAACAATTATAAATGAAGATTCTTCAATCCCGGTTTGTGGACATTAAATTAGGTTTATTTTGTACATTAATATAACAGATATCCATACAGCAGTGTATATTAACCTGTATCCTATCACATATGCATGCAAAAAGAGTGCAAAGCTAAACGCCAGCTGTCTCTCTCTGTGTGTGTATCTCTGCGCTATGTGTGTGTGTGTCTGCACTATATGCGTGTGTCTGCGCTATGTGTGTGTGTGAACTTTGTAATGATATTGTGTGTGACTCATTGTTGCAACTCCACAAAAAAATGCATCAAATACTGATTGGTAAAGTTCTTACTGTAGTATTTCTCACAAATGTTCCTGAGGCAGCCAAGGGCGGAGATTGAGGCATGTTGCTGACAGGCATGTGGGAACGGTGGGCGGGAAGGACTAGCCTTAAAGGCCCAGAACAAAAAAAACGCAACCAGGTTTTACCAGCTATAATACAGACATTTCAGACAGCTATAATAAATAAACTGATGAGTGTTTTGAGCTGAAACTTTAAAGACAAATTCTGGGTACACAAAAGACTAAATCTGAAAAATGGGTAACCTAGGTGCCCTTTAAAATCTGATTCCTTTAAAAACAGCGATCTTAACTGCATGGCTGAGATACGATATAAAGTGGGTATCAGATCAAAGAAGAATCACTGCATTAAATTCTGTTTTTACATGCAATGTCTTTAAAATATGGAATTTAATTGTACCCCAGTATTTTCAATGGAGTTTTTGCGCTCACCTGTTGCTTATGACGCGCCTGCATTTAAACATCATTTCTTTTTATGCTTTAACAAGCAAATGGATGCTTAAGTTAATTAAACAATTGAAATTTGAATTAAAATACAACATCGATGCTGTAAAAAGAACCTTATAAAAATTTAAAACAGTCTAGGGGTGCTCAAAATAATCGATTAACCTTTAACCGAAAGGGTGCGTTTGTAACCGATTAATGGTATCAGTTAAATGATTAAAATATTTATTTTAAATATTTTTAGAGTGTGGCTGCACAAGAGGCCGATCGAATGCGCTTTTTTGCATTAAGAGGTGCATCTTTTGAATGGTTTACTAACGGCCACAAATGTTTTGTGCATGGCTCATCCCAGACAAAGAGCTTAGAATGACCAACAGGCAACACTCTAGTGTAATTTGCGGCGGCCATTTTGGAATGAAAACTCCAGTAGAACAACAGCATATTTTAAGTCTGTAAAATAAACTATTAAAAGTGCTGATGATTGTGATAATAAGTGTTGTTTTGTCGTCTTTGAGGTTGTATCTCAGCTTTATTGTGCTTTAAAAAAAAAAAAAAAAAAAAAAAAAAAAGCAGCTGCTTGCCATCGCGACAGAAATGAGATCTAATGGATGGCCGATCACTTTTACTCCAAAATGGCAGAATCCAGGGCTGTTGCTGAGCGCTGCTGTTGCAATTGGACGTTCTATTGAGTGTCGCCTCTAGTTCATTCTAAGCTCTTTGTCCCAGAGCAGCAGTGTTTGTGTTATCAAGACAACTAAAAAAAACATTTAAAGACAGAGGAGAGAATAGTGCTCGCTGTTTTAAGCTATCTAGAGCTGTATGAATTTACAAATCTTGAATATCTCAATATTATTAATTATTACAATTGTAACAACATAGACAGCAACATTCTTGCACAATCAATACCCAGCTGATTCAGTCGTTTTCTAGTGACATAAAAAAAAAAAAGAGTACCGCGCTTCTTTTTTCCTATTCAATAAAAAAGAAAATGTGGTGCACCTCACGTTTTTGGAACGGAAAAGCACGTTTGCTGTTATCGGCCCCTTAATGTGCAACTGCAAAACATATTTGTTAACTTGCGGCACGGTAACGTGTAACCACACGTGCCTACAGACATATTTGCCAAAGAAGCAAAATGGAAGAAGAATATTGCTGTTTAATACAGACGAGTTGATGCCAAACCAGCGCTGATGCTGATCGCCTTCTGGATCTGCGTCATAAATGCAACAAATAGGCTTTAGCTTTCATTTTACATCTTATATATTTCAACTAAACCTGATGAGATGTCTGAATGGTCTAAGCTAACTGAGTGTATTAAAGATGTTAAAGACTGGACGACCAACAATTTTCTTCTCTTAAACTCAGACAAAACATAATTATTACTTATTGGGCCTAAATCCTGTAAACAGTAGATCTTGCAACTCAATCAACAATTAAAGGGATACAAAGTTAGCGTTAGCTCTACTATAAAAGATCTGTGTCATATTAGACAGCAATTTGAAAATCATATATCCCATGTCACAAAAACTGCCTTCTTTCATCTGAGAAATATCGCTAAGTTACAAAGTATGCTATTCATCTCAGATACAGAAAAGCTAGTCCATGCTTTTATGACTTCAAGGCTGGATTACTGTAAAGCTCTGTTTGCTGGCTGCCCAGCATCCTCTATTAACAAACTTCAATTAGTACAAAATGCAGCTGCCAGAGTTCTTACCAGGTCTAGAAAATATAATCACATCACCCCAATTTTATCATCCTTACACTGGCTGCCTGTTAAGTTTCATATTGAACTTAAGATACTGCTTCTTACATATAAAGCTTTAAATAATTTAGCTCCTGTTTATCTAACCAACCTTCTGTCTCGCTACAATCCAACTCTCTCTTTAAGATCTCAAAACGCAGTGCTTCTGGTAGTATCTAGAATAGCAAAGTCTAGTAAAGGAGGTCAAGCCTTCTCATTTATGGCTCCTAAACTCTGGAATAGCCTTCCTTATAACGTCCGAGGCTCAGACACACTCTCCCAATTTAAAACTAGATTAAGACCTATCTGTTTAGTAAAGCATACACTCAGTGCATCACTTAGCAGGTTTCTGCATCCTGTTTATATACACTATGAACAGCAGCTATGCTAATTATTCTCTTTATGCTCTATTTCCATCTGGGGATACTCATCCCGAGATCCTTAGACCATGCAGTGCCACTGATTCTATACAAGACCAGCGAAGAGATGATCCTAAGGTTTCCATATCCTAGATCAGGCCGTATCCTGAGCAGCTGCTGTGGTGGTCATGGAGGAGTAGAGAACATGAGACTAATTCCTGTGACACCCCAGGGACAGACAAGTCTTCGTTGAGGACAGCTTCCAGCCTCCGCCGCTGAGACTGCAGCTCTGCACAAGACGTTTTTCCAGCGGAGAAATTAAAATGATCGTGCTCAACTGAGTCTGATTTCTCTCAAGGTTTTTTTTCTTCACTTTCGCCAATTGGTGAAGTTTTTTCCCCTCTCCGCTGTCACCACTAGCTTGCATGGTTTGGGATTGGTAGAGCTATGCACCGATGGATTTGCTCTTCAGTGTATGGACTCTAAGTAGTGATTTTAAACCACACTGAACTGAGCTAAACTGAACTGAACTTAAACACTAAAAAACTGAACTACACTGTTCCAATTTACCAATTTACAATTGACCTCTTATGTGAAGCTGCTTTAAAACAATCTACATTGTAAAAGTGCTTTACAAATAAAGGTTAATTGAATTGAAATATAAAGCATGTACGCAAATTAATGCAATATCATATTTAAACAACAAAACTGTTTACAAAAAGTAAACATATGCGTGCGTTGTCTTTGTTTTCTCATAACACAAAATGCGCACTTGAACCGTGAGTGACAGAGGAAACCGTATATCAAGACATAATCTTTAAAATAATGATTTCTATTAAAAATGTAAAAAGGTTTTGTGATATAATAATAACAGCGGGGCATTAAATAAATGCATATTTTCCGTGGAGCGAGCGATTTGAGGTAGTCTGGTATCTTTATTTGATGAACAACAAAAACATATGATTGAACAAAAAAATAGGCCTATGCCCGTTCTTAAAAAGGATTCAGTCAGTGTTTTCGTTATGTAATCCTAAGTAATCATTTAAATGAATTTATTTTTATGGCAGGCCTATTTATTTTATTTAGTTTGTTCTGTTTTTCTATGCTGTTAAAAACTCTACAGTTGCGTGAAGATGTTCTGTTGTTATGTTCTGTTATTTATATGTTTTTGCATGTTAAAATAAATCAGTATTTTAAAATGCAATATTTAATGTGTCAGATGCAAAATAGACACGTCATTTTTTTATTTAATAATAATTTTATATTAATCTGACCAGTTGACCATTAATATTCGATTAATGATCTGCGGTTGTCAGTTAGCAAAATTAACCGAAATGAGCTTCACATAAAGCTTTTACATGAAGTTCATCATTGGCTGAAAAACACTAGCTGTGCATATAGCCCATTGAGGACACAAACAAAAAAGGCTTGGTCCCCACTTCCCTCTGCATTTCAGTCTCAAAGTAATAATCAATAAATTAAGATTTTGATATCCTAAACTTCTAGGAAGGTTATAGGGGTGAAATAAATGAGACACATTCAGAATTCAGATTCAGAATAGGACAATGTGTGACAATGTGCGAAAATGAAACAATCCTACAATACTTGATCTACTTTTATTAAATAGAAGGCATGTCTGATTATGTAAACATTTCAACACTAATAATAAAATTATAACTCAATCCGGAAGTGGACAGGTAGTCTATGTAGGGCTCACAAAATGATACCATTTTTGTGAACATTTTAGGGAACTTTAGCTGCAACTTTTTGAACCACTATTTTCAAGAAAGCTGCTATTTGTGAACATAACAGTTTACCTTCCATCTCTTGTTTGGCCTTGTCAAGCTTCTCTTTGTAAATTCTTTCCAATCTCTTCTGTTTCTCCTCTTGTCTCTTTCTCTCAGCCAGTGTTCTAGCTTCAACATCCTGAAAATCCACCTGGAAAAAAATGCAATGCAATTTTCACTAATATTTTAGAATAAACATTTCACTACACTTTAATGAAAGAACACGGTGCAATTAAGACATTATTATTTTAGCTGTTTACCAAACTATGCTTCTTTAAAATAATAGTATTTTTATTTTATTTTTAGCATATACCCAAAATTAAAATTCTGTTACCATTTTCTAAACCTGTCAAAAACCTATTAGAGCTTTTACACCTATGATCTTTTGAAAAATGTTGGAGACCTGTAACCATTGACTTCCATAGTACTAGTACTTGTTTTTCCTATTATGCAAGTCAGTTGTTACAAGTTTCTAACATTCTTTAAAAATTGTCTTTTGTGTTCAACAGTAAAAGGAAACAAAGGATGAGTAAATGGTGAGTAAATTTTATTTTTGGGTGATTTTATTTTTTTTAATGATCCTTTTAATTACATATTACATAACAACAAAGGTGCGTCACAGGGTGCAAACCGATGTCACTTAAACACTTTAATAACAGAACAGGTACAGCCTGATAAATACCTTTTTAATCTGCTTAAGAAAGTGATATCCCAGAGACAGTTTCTTATACGCCTCTCCATACGTGGCGTGCCATGACTGCACAGTCTGAATGGCAAGTGTCCTGAGTTTTCTTGCCACCTCTTTGGGTGGAGGCAAAGGCTGCTCAGCATCAGTTTCTACTGTAAGCTCCAGAAACTCCTGAAAGTTTGTGATGAGAAGAACTCTGAAGTGATGCGACCGGCTGAAAACCTCATTGACCATCTGAAAGGCAGAAAGACGGATCTCGGCATGTTCCTGGTTCAGCTGGGTCATGATTAAGTGATAGAAGTGATCAATGTAGCTATCGGAAACTCTAGACAGAAAAGAAAAGAATGATTTATTAAGGAGCATGTATGTCTAGTGCTGATCTCTGGCCACAAAAAAAAAATAAATAAATACAATACAACACTTTATAAACACATATCTCTCTTTTAATATTCAGGCTAGCGTTTAAAGCTGCATTTTGGTCACTCCTAGCCACAGCTCACAATGGGAAACATTTACAGTGGGTGTATACGGTACATAAACACATTGATTAATTGTTGCTCACTGACAGATACTGTGCTACAATGGATAGTCAAAACAGGTGGAGTTCTGGATGCTTACAGAACAGCCACCCTGTTCCAACCAAGGTTATTATACAGTAGATTAGCAATTAATTCTTATTTACTACTTTAAAATGTGCACTTTAGTTGTAATTTGTTTAGTTAATGGTGTTAGTTTTTGTTGAACACAAAGGGGATATTGTGGAGAAAGCTTGAAACTTGTGACCATTGACTTCCATAGTATTTGAGAATAGCTGAGAACATCAAGGACAGCTCTCATCTAGCTTCTGAACTGTTCGACCTGTTGCCCTCAAGAAGATGCTAGAGGTGCATCAGAACAAGGACAACCAGACTGAAAACAGCTTTTTCTCAAAAGCCATTACCATCCTGAGCTCACACATACACTGATCCCACACATGGACTGCACTTTATGCAAAACACATCTAATTATATACGTCATCTTGTATATACAGTATCTCTCGTTCAGCCTCAGAACTGTTACCCCCACCCCCTATTTTTGCACTATTATTATCATCCTATATTTACATATGGTATATGCCTCCTGTTCTACCTCAGAATTGTTTACTCACTTCACCCTACCTCACATACCCCATTTTGCACGATTATTATCATCATCTTACATTTCCATAGTACAGCTTATATATATATATATATATATATATATATATATATATATATAGAGAGAGAGAGAGAGAGAGAGAGAGAGAGAGAGAGAGAGAGAGAGAGAGAGAGAGAGAGAGAGAGAGAGAGAGAGAGAGAGAGAGAGATAGATATCGTTTCACCTCAGAACTGTTTACTCCACCTCACCCTGCCCCATCTCATCTGCATTGCTCCTGCATTACTGTTTATCGCCTACAGCTATTTCTAATGTAACTAGTTATTTAGTGTGATTGTATTGAAAGGATATATTTACATGTTTTCATTGAGTAGTGAGATCTCATCGCACATGTATATAATGTACATTGTATATGTGTACAGTGACAATATAAGGCATTTTATTCTATTCTGTTTGTTATTGCTACTATGGAAGTCAGTGGTTACAGGTTTTCAGTTTTCCTCAAAATATTGTTAGTGTTAAAAGAAAAAAAAACTCTCAACCACTTAAGGGGGAGTAAACAGTGAGGGATTAATTGTTGATCGACACGTCCTATGTCAATCAAAGCAAAATGCTGGGTTTGCACAGATTATCTTAACTCTTGTGCAAACCTATTAGTAATAAAAGTAGAATAATAGTTTGACACTGAACCAAAAGCCACACAAATGCAACTTAAATGAATAAATTTAAGATAAACTTCATCATTTTGTGACCTAAATGATCTTGAGATATTAAGCTTTTGCATTCCATATAGAATACAATACGTGTGTAACGGAGACTCTAAATGTACTCAAAATGTAAATTATTCAAATTCTCCTAAATGTGCAAATTGGAGTATAAAAAAAAAAAAACAGGTCAAATGCAGATAAAACCTTCTGCTTCGAAAAAAGTAATTTTCCGCTTGCAATTATAAGGTTTTATCTGGCAGTTCATTAATTGAAGCATTACTTTTCAGGAAATACAGTTTGCTTATTAATTAAATAAAAAAATTGTATGTTGTAACAATATGTTGATGTTCAAGAAAGTTACATTTTTGCTTTCTATAATATTTATTTAATGAATAAATATTTTTTTCTTGCTCAAATTAAGCATACAAGGCTGTGCTAAATATTTGGTCCAGTGCAGATGTTATTTTATGTAACTAATATGGTAATATTTATTGAATTATATGCTTTATATGAATTATTGAATTATATTTATTGAATTATATGCCCCATCAATTAAATGATTTGCCCTTCAAAACTTTAAAAGAAAGAGAAAGACTTTAAAAGAAAACAAACAATGAGCAAATGAGTTGACTAAATACTGAAAATGTTCCACTGAAAATATATACACCGATAAAAAATGTCACATTAAATATATAAATTTTTTCAATAACAGTTTTTTTCCCAACATTGTAAAATGTAACATTTCATCTCAATGTCAATAAATTATTTTAAATCATCACATTTACACACGTATTTGCAGTTTCAGGTTTCTTCTTAATTTTGTGTGGTGCAAGCGGCATTGTTTAGTCAAGTCTCATTTTGTGTTTCTATCTGGTCTCTCCTGCTGTCAAAAGAGCAGTCTAGTGAAATAACAAAGAAAGCTGTTTCTGATTGATCCTTGTGTGTGCATTTGAAATGCTGATTGGTACACAGAAAGAACCTTATAGAGCCAAGCCAGACTTCGACTTTTTATTTAAAAAAAAACAAAACAAAATGGTTTTATCCAGAAAGTCTTAAAATGTAAATGATTTATAAAAACACATCCCATAACGTAAATAAGCTGTCTTTTTTTTATAAGAATATGTGAATAACTCAATTTTGACAAAAATGTCAGATAGAGCCTTAAAATTCTAAGGTGACGATATATGCAGCTAAACATACCTAGTTAACTTTTTTTTTTTTTGACTAATGAAGAAAATGTGTTTGTCTGTAAAAGTGCTTCTCCTAAAAGCAGCAGGTTAGATTCTCCACAGAACCAGTGCTTAATAATTCTGAAAACCACTATTATTTTTAATAATGATTATTTTACTTCAGTCACTTTTTTATTGACTGTTATTAGTGTCCGTTTTAGTTTTTAATTTTTTGTTAACTTATTTTATTTCAGATAACTAAGTTTTTTTGACCAATAGTTTCAGTCTTGGTTTTAGTTTTCATTTATTAAATTAACCTTTGATCCAACAACATTGTCAATCAGAAGAAGCGATGACGTGATGATCTGGGCTATATGAAGGTCTGCAAGTTATATGCAGATCGTAACTGTAAACCTTTTGTTATTGGCATGGTTCTGCCACTTGAGTATTCTTAGGGCTCTATTTTGACGGTCTATACGCAGAGCGCAAAGTGCAGGGCGCAAACCCTTTTAGGGCGTGTCAGAATGCATTTTTGCTAATTTAAGGACGGGAAAATCCGCTTTGCGCCGTGGCGCACGGTCTAAAAGGGTTGAGTTTATGGCGCATTTGCTATTTACAGGACGTAAAGTAAGTCTAAGTGGAAAAACTGAGCATTTCACTAGCAAACAGTTAAGAGTTTTTTTTTTTTTTTTAAACAGAAAACTGTTAAACAGAGCATCTACTGTGTGAGAATGAGAGATCATGGATCTACTTTCACTTTCTCTCTTGGATAGGGAAACCTTTACGCACAGACATCAATTAGTCTATAAATAATTAATTGCGTTTGTTAAGCACAAATATTCATTTCAAAACTATTTCTAGATTTAGTTCTAATTTCCAGCAAACGAATAAATGAACAATATTAACGAAGTGTGCTCAAAAACCTGAGTTATATCCTAAAACACATGCTGTGCCCCATATGATCTAAAACCTGCAGGTGGGCAAATCTAAGCTTGTTTTTAATAAAAACAAATATATATATATATATATATATGGATATAATAAATAATACTGCTAATATTAATAACATTATACAAAAGCAAATTGTTATGAATGAACTGAAAAAGCCTCCCGAGATTAAGAAGACATAAAAGCTGTGGTTTTTCATATTTTTGTAGACTAGAAAATAATATGTTTTTGTAATATTTAAATTTTTTATATTTATATCCTATATCTATTCTTATTATATCCTATATATATCCTTAATATTTAAATTTTTTCATATGTGAAGATATTTGCGTATTGCTCTCTTGTGCGTATTAAGCAGTGTGTAAGCGAGGTGCAACTCTGTGCTGGAGTTTAGACCGGGTTTGTTTTGGTCTCATGAAAAATCTATTTTAGATTCTCAAAATAGCAACGCGCCAGCAGTGAACCACAGAACGCCTTCCTTTTTAGACCAGAACGCCTATGGACGCACATATGAGCGGTAATGGATTTGCTATTTAAACGCCTCAAAATGACTCTTGCGCCAAGCTGAAACTAGCAAACGACTATTGCGCCGCGCCTTGCACCACATTGTGCCGGGTGTATGATAGGGCCCTTAGTTTTGTCAGAGGCCTGACACTGGTTTATTGTGTTGTCCCTCTGTGGCTCATTTTGGATTATGGATCATTTTGTTCAGTGATGAGGTTCAACAAAAAAAGGAAGACACAGAGGTCACGCCATTGAGGTTTTAAATCCATATTTATAGGAAAAGAAAAAAAAATCTAAGGATGAGCATTAATTATTGTGGACTTTTGTTTTGTCTTGCTTGTGTTGCACAAAACTTTTGTTCTTGTATTGGCCGTGTGCTTATATGTTGTCTTGTTCTTTTTTGATGTTTTGTTTTAAGTTACTAAATTAGAATTGACAATTGTGAAAATAGACATGTATCTAAAATGTTGGTATTATAAGGCTAGATAAGTCAATTACAATGAAAGCTATAACGACATTTATTTAGTTAATTAGGCAGGGCCAGTGAATGCTTGGCAGGCAAATAAAAATCTAATCTGATCAGGCCATACAGTAAGTAAAAATCCATGTTATTAAGCCCTGATTCAGAATTATGCATATTGTAATACTTGTTTATAGCTTTATTTTTGTATTAACTTTGTATTGATTTGGTACCTGGCATGCTGTTTTGGTGTACTATAAGTATATACAGTGCTTAGCATAATTGAGTACACCCCATTTTGAAAATAAATATTTGTATCCATTTCTCAGTGAATATAGGCAATGTATTTTGGTCCATTTAAACAAAACAGATTAAACAGGTATATTTATTAAAATAATATTTT